GGACGAATTTTAACCCCCCCCGAAAATAAAACATGCTTCAAATCTCTTTAAACTAGTGTCATTGTAGTGGGTATTTAATGTTGCGCTGCACTCTGATGTTGTTGGAGAAAACATTTATTAAAATTTATATTTAATTAAGTAGAATGTGTTGTCTATATTTATTTAAAGTTGCGCATTTTGATGTGACGTCACGTTTCTCAACCCCCCCCCCCCCATCGTCACACATCGTCACAAATGTCTGACCCCCCTCCCTCCTAGGTACGTGCAGTCATTTATGGACGGCCCCTAAGGCAAATAATTGAACTTAGGTCATGACCATCATGGGTTGTACGTATGTACGTTGAACTTATTTTGCACCTTACGTAACCAACCGTGCACATCGGAGGTATATGAAGTGCTGGCTAAGTTTTTTTGTGGATATAGTCGATGCTTACTATCATCTTTTGGAGCCTATCATCCATAAGGCTAAACTGGGGTTCTTGTCATCAGCAAACACTCGAGCAACCCACTGTTTGCACGCACCTATTCACATGTTTGCCACGCGCTAATTTACCTCCATAAACACAAGCGCTCCCCATCTATATACTGATGCTCTCAGATACAAACGGCATACAGAGCAGAAAATAATTACAGTGAAACTCCTGCTATCTGTGACTTCCATTACCCATAGCCCGTAATCGATCCCAGAAAATGCCCATTACCCATGTCCATTTCACAGATAACAGAAGTTGCGCAGCCAAATTTGTCTTACTCTTGTTGATCTGCGAGTAGGAGGTGCACCCAGAAGCGGTAACGATGAGCTCTTGATTGATGCAGTTTCCGTGTATTTTACCTGACGGGAACAACTTACCGAGAAGCGGTGCTCAACTCATCCACCAGTGCAGCAAGAATCACACTCGTGGTCAACTGTGGATAGTAAACTCATCTTTGGGGAAGCACAGGCCTAGGTCCTGCCTGGAATCAGACCCATGTTCCTGGAGGTATGGTGCAGTGTGCTAGCTTCTATGCAATCACTCTCTAAAATACACACATTCACACGCATTTATACCGTACGTACACATGCAAGACAACAAAGGTTGATTTCCTCCAAAGAGCCGTATAGGCCATAGGAGCAAGTGCTGTCAGCAAGACACCTTGTATGGTTAGCACTGTTCATGAAGTGCTTATGTGACCAGGCCAATACCTATGTTCGCGTTTTGTCTTTGCTCACTCCTGATCGCCACACACTTGCATCAGGTTCTGACTGTAAACTGTAGTTGACCTAGTGAAGGGTTGGATCAGGCTCTGAGTAGAATTTCACCTGGTGACGAGGCATGTATGAGAGACACCAGTGCAGAAAGAATCACACTCGGTTGCTTTCGTTGCTCCAGAGTTGATATAAACTCAAAACGTAACTATTTGTATTTTACCAGGTGAGGCCCACTGAGCTATATAGCTCTTTTTCAGAAGCGACCTGGCCACAATTGATAGCTCAACACTCTACTACGCATGTTTCTAAATGTGGAAAGAAAAAACCACGGGGAGAGAGACGTACAAACTCCTAATATTCAGGCGTAATGGTCGGGATCGATTCCACGACCTCCTGTATACCAGGCGAGGTAGTTAACCGTGTTGCCCCTAGGCATATGCAAACGCCCGGACCGTGTACTTTGTAAGGTTTAGTTGAAATGGGGTCGGACCCAGTTCAAGTTCAGATACCACTTGCCACTGTTGTGCATGGATGGCCGGGAATTGAAATCCAAGTTGCCGAGATTGTAATCGCAATTCGTGAACCACTTGGCCACCTCTCCCACACATACACGCACGCACGAAGGGGCCCCGCGTGGGCCACCCCGCCTCTCTCTGGGGCTGCCCTGGGTCTCGTGGTTGGTGCTGGCCAGTGGCTGCCCGGTCGTACGTGCATATGTGTGCGTGTTGAACTTCTTTCGCACAATATGTGCTAATCGGAGGTGTGCCGTGGTGTCGCTCTCTGCCCTGCCTCCCATGTTTCCCCTGCCTTGCGCGTGGCCTCCCCTTTCCCCACCTTCTTTACTCATGCAGCTCCCCAGGTGTGCGAAGTGTCTTGAGACGCAGTTGGATGTAGCCCATCGAATTGCTTTTTTAACTTAACCAAGAACGAGAAATGAAATAGGTGACAAAGCCTTCACCGTTGCAGCACCAACTTTTTGGGACATCCTTGTATACACCCTTAACATCGTACATTCACCTTCAAAAAATATTCTGAAGCAGAAGATTAGTGCTGGATACAACCACATTTGCCAATGAGATTAGTAACTGTAATACCTACCCGTGTATCGATAGTTACATTTTAATGTGCAATTTTATTGAGGGACTGTGTGTTGTCTTGCTGTGGTCTGGGACAGTGGCTGTTGTTTTGCTGTCTTGCCCAAGCTTGCATTTCTTGTTGAAAGATCGGCAGGAATTGATGTACTCTTTCAATTTGTACTCATATTATTTATCTATTTTTACGTATTTAATGTTAGCGATTTGATTACCTTTTCATAGACTTTGCACTCCAATCATTGTTTTTATTGTTTGTTGTAACTTTCTGACCCACCCCCACTGGACATCTGTGAAAAACAGCTTCATAGCTAATCGGATTTTCTCCAGGATGAAATGAAAATGTATTGAAAGTGTTGTTGTTGTTGAACAGACGACCCTCTCTTCCCCCCACCCCAAACAAACGTTATTTTAATTTTATTATAGCGCGGCGGAATGCAGCTATAAAATTGATGCTGCCGTGATTAATTTTATTTTGGGGGGGGGAGGGGAAGGGTGGGAAGGAAGGAGGGGCAGATGCAACAGTGTTTTCTAGTCGAGGGTCTGAATCAACATTCATGGGTGTGTAATAAAATGTAATGTGTCTCTAAACGTGTCCTGAGAGGCCTGATTATGCTTGCACAAATGCAGAGATGAACAAAAGATGGTTGTGTGTTTTCCTCACACAAGTGTTTGTGCGCAAGTGGAGCGGTGGTGCAGTGGTTAAGGCACCGTGCTATGGAATGCTACGAAGCCGGCAACCCACGTTCGATTCCCACTCACGACCAATATCAGTGACGAATATCTGGACCGGTCCTGGTCAACTCAGCCTTGAATAAGAAACCTGGTGCGTTGTGTAAACATCAGCACTGGGGAGACAAAGGCGGCTGGGCGTGGTGGTGACCATTCACCCGACCGTGTGCTGTGCTCGCTAACAGCACTTGCCCCAAGAGTCTGTTAAAGGCTATGTGGGGGATCTTTGTCTTATATATACACATATTTTGCACACAATGCTAATTCTTTGCGTGCGAGTCCATGTGAATGTAAATCTGTCGACACAGGAAATCGAATACGAGTATAATTAAAACAGAATAAATACAACGTTTACTTGCAAGGATGCGAACACGGATGTTTGGGAAATCGTGACGAAAATATCCTCAATCAGGTCTTGTACATTGTGTGGGTTAGTGGCTAATTAATGGGAACGTACGTGGTGAATGATGGAGTTGTAGGGGAATCACTCTGCTTTCCAGGCCCTCTTTATCGGGATGGTGTTAACAAAGCACGTGGTGATGCTGAGTCAATGTCAGGGAAGCCCGCGACACTTTCATCTGTCAGGTGCAGCTCACATTACCTATTGCCAGGAAGTGCACCCACGTCACCTGCATATAAAGCGCAATGTGTACACCGCTGCACCCACTGTATTCGACAGGTGCGTACATTGATTCATAGCGATGCCACTAAGGCATGCATGTTTAAATGCAACTTTAAAAACACCCGTTGAAATAAACTTATCTTATGCCTATCGCTGCCTGAACATTCGCACAATAAATGCAAAGGGGAAAATGCCAACGATAAACATTCCCTGTTACCAATTAGACTGTGGTGGCAAATGTGGGGCGCTGACAATCTACGAAGGCCGGTGTGTCACTTGAGGGTACAATGTGGTCACGATAAACACATAACCGCCTTTGTCTCTCCAGTTTTACATGCCAGTAATCGAAGGAGGAGGGGGGGGGGTGATTGGTATTTAGTGCATGTGTGCTTATTTGTGTGTACATGTATTTATATTCAGCAATGTGTGCACATATGCACGGGGCACATAGATGATGTACATCATTGACTGCGCTTGTGCAGGCGTTCTCAACTTGACCTAAAGGATTCCCAGGACATATTCAGGTCCAACAATACCACTATCGTTGTGCTTGGCCAGGAATCCAAACCAGGCAGTAAAGATCAAAGTAAAATGCACTGAACCGAACACTTATTGTCCCCATGCCGGGACACATGTGCACATGACAAAGACCACCCGTATAGCCTTAACAGACTTTTTGAGCAAGTGCTGTTGGCAACTGCCTATGAAGGCCGGCACGACACACGAATGGGGTGGGTGACCAACACCACGCCTTTGTCTCCCTAGTAGAGATATTCACTATACCACGTACTCATTTAAGGCTGAGTCAACCTAGGGAAGACCCAGGGCCACTTCAGATATTCATCACTAGTGTTGTCCGTGGGTGGAAATCGAACTCGGCTTGCCGGGTTTGTAGCACGGCGCGCTAACTGTTGCGCCACCACTCCCCACACATGCACGCTCACACGTACGCACGCGTGCGCGCGTACGTTAACACGCGCACACACGTTCATGACATACGTGTTCACTAATGCACTGAAGCCGATGCACGCTCATGTGCACCCAGCTTGGGCGCACAACCAACTATCCACACCCCGCTGCGTGACAAATGGCAGCCCCGCTTCTGTTCTGCATGCCTTGATTTTGCATGCTGATTGTCTGTGCTTCTTTGTGCAGTGTTTTTCTTTCTTCCCTTGGTTGACCGTTTCTCTGCAGTGTCTCATGATCTTGCTTCCCTTCCCTCAACCTCCAACCCCACCACTACCACCACCCATCCTCCCTCCTTCCCACCTCTCTGTATCTAATGTGCACCCCGACCCCCTCGACCTCCTCTTGTCGCCTTCTATCCCAAATCCGCAACCGTTCTTCCTCTGTGTTTCCTTCGCAGGTGCACGCAGAGACCTCTCGGAAGGCGTGGGAAATAGCGTCCTTTAACCGGAGCGTGGGATAAAGAAAGAAAACGGAAAGTACAAACTGACAGCAAAACGAGCGCTTCCATTGGCATTGACGCTGAAGGCCGGTGGGCAGAAGGCTTCATTGCACATACACCTCCATCAACAAAGTACTTGGAATTACCATCGAGTCGTTTAATGAGAGACTCAACATGCGACCCAAATGGAGAAACAGGATGCTGCACAACGGTGGAATTAAGAAGAATCTCATGAAAGCCTAGGGGGACGATGCGTGCTGACAACTAGAATGGTCAGAGAGTGGCACTTCTGATGTAAAGCTGGCGAAACTTTTTTCACTGAACACTGCCACGGAATAAAAGCTCAGAGCGGGTGCTCCTTTTCGTGAACAGCTTTTAAAAGTTTCTGCATTCGGGCGTGGGTTTTGTTTTATATCATAGAGATATCGGTGGCTTCGAACCTATTACAAAGTTAATGAGCCAAATGGCAAATCGTTTTACTTAAAATGGAAATCGCGTCTCGGTATTAAAATCAACGTATATTAACGCAACTCTTTTGCAGTCAATGCAAGCAATAGAGGAACGCGCAAAAAAGTTGAACTCTGCTTTTAATAGTAGCGTATAATACGTAAAGCCGGCAGTATGTTTTCCACTGATAAGAAGTTGAAGGAGGAGAGTGTTTTAGGCATCCTCTCCAGTTTCAAAGTTTGCTGAGCACGACGCGTGGTGCCACTGCAAACCTGACTGAAAGTATAATAGTCATCAAGAAAATAAATTTATAAAACTGAGCCAGACGAATTGGCTGCTAAATACTTCTCTTTGTCCGCGAACGCCACACACATAAATCGCCGGACAGCCACAGACAGAGGCGTCCTCAAGAAAGCCGCCCCCCACCCTTGTCAGCACGTCGCTGACAGAGAACGAGGGGAGCAGCGAATCCCCGGCCACTGTGGCGGCTGCATGGGGGAACGTGGGCCAGGTCGGGGTTGACGGTGGGATCGTAGGACGAGGGGACGTGGAAAGGAGTCGTAGAGGGGGAGCCAGGAGAGTGACGAAGGGGTGGGAAGAAGAAGAAGAAAAGGCGGCGTGTGTTCGTACAGAACAAGTGGTGAGATCCTCGATCTACAGAAGGGGACTATGCTGCGGCGGCGGAGGAGACGGTATTTCCTTGATGAGGGCTCGAAGATGGCCAGGGAGCGTGCTTGCAACCAGCTCTACGAGTCGTACTACTGCATGAGCCAGCAGTTCCCACTGCTCGTCTTCTTCCTGCTCATCATCTCGGGAACGTGTGTGGCTCTGCTGGCCGTCTTCTTCGCCACCGGAAGGGTGAGAGAGGAATCCCACCGCTCGCTCGCTCGCTCCCTCCCAACCACCACGCTGCCACAGCTTCACAGCCACCCCAATAAGTAGCTCTCCCAAAGTTAACAAAATCCACTGGCAATGACCGCCAATATACTCACGGCATCGAGAAAGTGTGTGTGTGTGTTGTCTGAAGTACTGGAGGTATGTTTCTATGTCCGGAAAATGTGCACGCACACGAGCATTTGTGAGCCATATTTTTTCGTGAATTAGTTTTCAGAATGCAAGATGGCATATTCATAGAAAAGTGCTGCATAGTTAAACCACTTTGAAGTTTATGAAATTAGTGTTATTTTTTACATCAAAATTTAGTGTTGTTCTATTTAGCAATTGTAATATCAGCATTCGGACAGAGTGAATAATTTATTTTTCTTGTAACCTGATTACTATACATCTCCCAATTGTGCCTATCGCGTCAAAGAATTAAATGGAAAAAAATGACTATTCTACGACTGTCATAGACGGCAGAGCCGTCGCCTATGATGTTATATCGGGGAAGGGCCCCAAAGGAGACACCAACGAAATGATCTTAGTAGTCATTTTTGGAGTCTACAGGGACTCTGGGAGCCAACAACAGATGAAACGTCGTGATCTGCAAAGAAACAGTCCATCGTATGTCGGTTACGTAATACAGAGTACAGTTCATCGTTGTGTAAATGTACCCTTTGGAGCTTGAACACACTCTTTTAATTCATTGGTGGGGTTTTTTTGGTGCAGCTCTGGGCAACTGGGCTAAGACTGTTACGCTTATGAAACAATCTGTAATCACGGGTCGCCACACACTTGTGATTTGGTTTACGCCTCCCCTCCCCTAATTATATTCCAATCGTGCTCTCTCTGTTGTATCCTGAGACAAATACATTTCCATTTAGATCTCATTTTTGCAAGCATAGGCTTGTCCTGTGGTGGTAAACAGAGCCTGGAAAATGAAGTCAAAGAACTAAATCTGCAGTCTCTTCACTACACCTCTTAGCAACACGAAGTGGCACTCCTTTTGTATGCACTGCCACAAGTGCACATCACAAGATAACACTATGTAACACGATTTCTGTTCCTGGGTAGTAAGTGTTATTTTCTAATTGCTTATGCCTCAAAAGTATAGAAAATGGCTATTATTCCCCACGAACTTTGCTTTTGTGATCTGGTCTTTACGTGAAGGAATGACACTAATGCACACGTTATCTCATTGGAAATTAAATAGGTAGATTTCAAAATATCAATGTCCTGGTCACAAAAGCAAAGTTTTTAGGGAATAGTAGGCATTTTCTGTACTTTTGAGGCAGAAGCAGTTAGGAAATAATACTTACTACCCAGGAACAAAAAAGTAAAAAAAAACATTTGTTACACAGTGTAGTCAAGCACAACCTTTTTTTGCGGCCGTAGTTGGATCTTGTCGGCTAAATTTAAAACGATAGGGTTTACATTTTACATTGCTTGGTGGTTGGGCTTATACCTTCAACTTGCTCGGCTTGAGGATGCGATTTAGTCACAGGTGAATGCCCAGATTTAAATCCGGGTTCTCAGTCGTATTGGCACAGGGCTGTGGTGCATCCATTGTGACCTTATGAAGCCACCTCTGTGCAACTCTTAGTTTGACTTTCTCACACTCGGTGGATTATGTGCAATTTACGAGCGGAATCAATCTTCTATACCTGCACACTCGCCGGTCTGAGAGCTTTCAGATGGGAGATATGGGTGCCTACATGCTGATTGGTTTGTCGAGTTGCATGATGCATGCCACACCATTGTCGCAAAAAATCCCATTTTTTAAAGGTGAATTTTTGTCTTCAATTTGTACAAATCTGTGCTACAAGAGCAGGGCAAAAGAGATATGCATAACGTGACAGCAATGTTACTGCACATGTTTGTAGGTATGTGTACTGTATGTATGTTAAACTTCTTTCGCACCATACTCTTTGGTTCTTTCAGTAAAGCGGTCGTCATCAGCCCTGATGACGACCGCTTACGATCGAAACGTCGTGATTTGTTTTATTTTATTTATAACTACGTGACTTTACCGAAAGAACCAAAGAGTATGGATTCCTGCAATCACGAAAGCTTCTTTTCGCACCGTACGCCAGCCAACCGTGCTAATTGGAGGTGCGGTTTGCATGCCCCATTACCGAGTTTTCTTGAGATCAGATAACTGAAGCATAAAAGTAAAAAAATTATTACGTGAAAAAAAGACGGTGTTCGAATGTGACATCTGGTGGATAGGGCATGCAAACATCGAATGGTCTCCACGGTGGCAAGATGTTATTCTGGTTTGCAGGAGGTCATGGGTTCGATCCAGGCCCTGACGCCTGTATATTTGGAGTTTGCATGTTCTCCTCGTGGTCGTATGGATTTTTCTTCGGGAATTCCGGTTTTTCCCTCACATTTAGATACGTGCATTTAGAGTATATTGCTGCTCTAAATTTTCACGCGATAAGCCACTTCGTTGAGCGATCATTTGTGCTGGTAAAATAAAAAATGTTTTTTTTTAGTTTCATAGTTTAACATTTGCTAAAAGCAAGAGTTTTTTTTTATCAAGAGTGCTGTAAACGACAGACAGGGTAAGGCCTAATTGTGCTGGATGTTTAGCAACGTGTAGTTTTTTTGCCAATCTATAAATGTGGGGCTGGGGGGGGCGGGGCAGGATTGTATTCTCTGCAGTATTATTCAATTGATAATAAATTCCCCCTTACTTTCCCATGACAGTAATAAAAAGGCTTTTGGTAAATAATACAGAGAGCTTTTTAATTAATTCCGTGGGCCTCAGATATATATGCAGTGAGACACGAAGTGGAGAGATATGAGGCACGACAGCACTACATTATGTATCCATACATCATGCCAATTTAACGTTTACCTTATGCCATTAGCCAGCTGGGTGGTGGAGCATCTAATAATGCAACACGAGCAGCAGGTGTGAAATTAACTTCAAGCAATGTCCTCTCCTTTAGCAGCAACTAAAAAAAACCATCAACACTTTGACGTCTTTCGTGTTTGCGGGGAGCAGAGCGAATGTGACCTACATTTGGGAACAATAGGCATCTGCCTTCTCAATTGTTCTTCAGAACGAACAGTGGCATTCATCAATGCTGAACACAAAATAATAATTAGTGTCGTGGAATATACAGGTAACAGCATAGATAAGCAGACAAATGCATCTCCATATCTCTCTCCTTGTCTGATATATGAAGGGGACGTATTGTCTGGAGATAATAAAATAATAAAAATAAAACATAATATAATAAAATTCTCACGACGTTTCGGCCACAACGCAAGCAGCCGTCCTCAGGTGAGAATTTTATTATATTATGTTGAATTTTTATTATTTTATTATTTCCCTTCTACGTGACTTTACCGAAATAACCAAGAATACGAATCCCTGCAGTCACGAAAACTTTAAATCGAAACGTATTGTCTGCTTTATCCATAATAGAGGTTTTTCGGTGAGATCACGTAAATATAAATGCATCGTTAAACCTGCCACCACCCAACACAGCCAATTAGTAAGGTTTGTCACGTAAACAGAACATGCCAATTAGTTACTAGTACAGCACACTGGTGTGTTGGAGAGTGTACCCACATCTTCTTGGTTCTTTCGGTAAAGTCACGTAGAAGGGAAATAATAAAATAATAAAAATTTAACTTAATAAAATACAATTCTCAGGACGTTTCGGCCACAACGCAAGCAGCCGTCCTCAAGTGAAGAACAGGTCTGTTGGAAAGACAGCATTCTTCACCTGAGGACGGCTGCTTGCGTTGTGGCTGAAACGTCCTGAGAATTGTATTTTATTAAGTTAAATTTTTATTATTTTATTATTTCCCTTCTACGTGACTTTACCGAAAGAACCAAGAAGATGAATCCCTGCAGTCAGGAAAGCTTTAAATCGAAATTTATACCCATATCATTTACAATACTCTCTAACACACAACCGGTGTGCTGTACTAGTAACTAATTGGCATGTTTTTATTCACGTGACAAATCTTACTAATTGGCTGTTGGGTGGTGGCAAGTTAAACGACACATTTATATGCACGCGATCTAACCCAAAAATCTCTATTATGGATAATATTGGTCGCGAAAGCCTACTACATGTTAAATGTATCTGCTTTAGTTACTTGTAGTCTCCACAACGATGCTCATAATTACTTTGTGTTATGTATTTCGTCATTTTTTCGACAAAATAGGACCAACATCTTTAAGAGAGGGTCCTCACCAATTAGATCTTGGCAGTTCGCCAGCAATGATTCGCAAGCAACCCCGACTCTGCTGATGAGACGCCGCGTGTCAAAACCAGTCCAGACTGGTGCTGAAACTGAATCAATTCTGCTGAAATTATGCACTCCCGAAGGCCAAAGAACGGATGGGTTGCGTAAAAAAAAACCGATTATTTTTTGACGGAGAGACAGCTATATGTGGAAGAGACATTGCCTGATTCTCTAGTTTTTTCCTAAAAATCTGTGTTCTTTAAAAAACAAAAACATAAATTCCAGTTGAAAATCTAATTGCGCTATCAGTTTCATGAGCCGAAGATTCACTCCGGAGCAATGCATCACCCCATGATAGAGAATTGGCAACATTATGATATCACGTAACTATTTCTGAGATGTCTTGAAATTCTTCTTTTTTTATCGACAAAGCAGGATTGTAAAAAAATCAAGCGAAATACCAAATGTTGTGCAATCAATCATTGTGGGGGTCTCATGAGGCCAAATGTGTAATGTTTTTGCACACGTGTAAAGGAGGCCTCAGCAGCAAAATTAACAAAGAGCTTTTCACTGAAGCCAGTAACACAACGCATATCGATTACATTCCCAAGTGAGATCCGAGATCCCGTTTCCTATTCCTTAAGTACCAATCACCCTGTCTTCTCGAACCTTCTCAACCGATTCTATCCCCTTAGCCAATCAATCCCAAAATAATTCCCCAATGGGTCTCTAACTGGCCCTCAGTCTACACTTGAAATTTCACAGGCATTGAGCCCTTCAAATAATTTGACCGATCAGCTTCATCCCACTCACGGCTCAACACAACAGTGCGTGAGCGGGGCAGCTAATCACGTGAGTCGAAGCTCTCGGCTGAACGTGTCAGCTGTTGCAATTTGACAGCTAACCGATGGGGCACAACCTCATATCCATTTCAATGGCGACTATACCTGTTGAGTGCACTCACAGTATTCCTTACACCTATCTAAAGATGACCTAGCCTGGCAAACATGCTGTGGTGTGGGTGCCTGATTTACCAGCACACACATGATCTGTTGATAATGAACTGCATGCAAACATAAAAAGGAGACATCTCGTCTTAATGAGATCTTTTCTAGATATAAATAGTTGGCATCTATCATGAAACCCTACAATACTTTGAGAGATAAGTCACCTGTCTCCAGGCCACGTGTTGAAATTTTGCCATCCAGATGAGGAGACCATCTTCTAGAGAATGGAGCAAAGTCAAATGTTGATAATGATTTTTTCCATTTTTAGATAAGGTTCAAAGCTCTGTCCGTCCATCTAGCTACCCATTGCTTCATAATGCGGGGGGTCACAAGGACGCTCATAGAGATGATCCAATATGTTCCAAAAACTAGTACAAAATTGCTTTGCCATTAGGGACTTGTCTGAGTGGAAACCAGCCACATTGATGAAAGCGTTGCAAAAAAACTCCTGACACAAACCAGTGCTAAAATTATTATTAGCAAATATGCAAATGCCATAATAATAATTAGCGGTAATAAATTATGGCATGCGAATGTTGGACAGCGTTGCACAACCCACGCATGCGCACGATTTCCGATTCCACGTTTTGTTTGTTGAGTTGCTTTATTTTTTTTTCTCCCAGGAAGTGAAGAATCACCTGGCGTTCATCGTGACGGTGGCCACGGCACTGGGCGTGTTCCTGACCATCTTTGTGCTGGCATGCGTGGAGGCGGTATTCACGCGCCTCCTCCGTGTCTTCGCCCTGGCCATATGGGCCACCCTCGTGGCCATGGGCTACCTCTTCATGTTCTGCGGAGGCGTCGTCTCGGCCTGGGACCAGGTCGGTGCCATTCCCCCCCACCCCCCAACCCACCGTGGTCAAACCGCCTCGAGCCGCAGTCGTCACCATTGTTACCGTTGTTAACGCTCTCCCATTCCGAGACGTCTGCAAGTTGCGGGGTTGGATGTCCCGTTCAACCGCCGAATCTCGGGATGCGCGAGCGGTTATTAGCGTACATTTTATTCAGAGAGCCGTAGTAGCACCGCTTTTTTAAAGACGTTGCGCTTACCGCAGAGAACCGTAGCAACACGACCGCACTCTGTGATAGCCAGCGCCAAACTCTGCCACACACCCTACCGCATGGCCTTCTGGGAGCCTCGGTACGTCTTCTGACCTGAAAATGTAACCGATAAAGTTATTTTATTTCAAAAACTGATGACATACACGTATACCATCGGAATGAAAAACGGTTAAATAGAGTTTGAGGCAGTTGGAGCAGATGGAAGTTGAAATTTTTAAATAATGGTCAGGGATCAACTCACCCCATTATTCCTCCAGGGCAGGGGTCGGCAACCAAAATAACAAGAAGAGCCATTTCTTTCCAATTCGGTACAAAATTCAGTATTTCAAGAGCCGCAATGCATACGTACTCATCGTCAAGAAGCAGCCCGTAAAGAGCCGCATGCGGCTCCGGAGCCGTAGGTTGCCGACCCCTGCTCCAGGGTCAATCAGATGAGTAAAACTCATGGAAAGTCAAGAGCAGCTGTCCGATTGAAAATACTAATTAGAAATATAAATGTGCTTACTACAGTGCCAGACACTCGTCTAAAGCTGAGCCCAGCAACAGGGTCAAAAATCGAATGTCAACACCCTGGTGCAGTAAATGTCACTAAGTGGCAATGATGTAACCACATTGTTTACCAGGCTAGGTACACCTGGCCCCTGCCGGAAAGCTTTGCTGGCAGGAGGGCATGAAACAGACCCAGATGTGAATGAAATTATTAAGGAGACTGGACAATGCACCATCCACACACTCCCCAACCTGCTATTGCCCTGTAAATACATTGCAATGGATATAATCATTATTATTGTGATTCGTATATAAAGGCATGCAATGCTTCTCAAGAGATAATGGATTTCACTGGGCAGTCACACCCAGCTCAATAAGAGTCATTAAATTTAAATGTTACTCATTTGCGTGGTGGTTCACTCATTAATATTTTATATACGTATATATATATGGATTATAGAGCCTAGTATATCTGAATTGTGCTCGTGGGTTCACATTATAAGATGTCCTTCTGAAACTCCATTATTCCCCAGAGCATCACTTTGCATGGCAGAGAAATGCTCTGGAGGAGGATTACATCACAGGACTCATTGTGGAGTCACTTCTTAACCAATACCAGACGAGGTTCGTTTGTACTTTGCAAAGAGTTCTTTGTCATGTCACGTGTCCAGATTTTGTCTAACTTCTTTGCCATAAAAGATGGGTGGAATTAATTATAGGAATCATTGCACATATGTTGTTTCCCATATGCGTTCATGGGTGACTGAGCTCAAACCACCAACTAGGGTGGTTGAAATCTGGATTCAAACCCCCACGATTTCAGCTGTACTGGGCTCATTCCTGTGACACGGCCATCACGATCCTCCAGAGTTACCTGGCTGTCCCATACATTATTAAACAGCGAGACCTGTGATAAGAGAGGCAGCGTTTTTACAAATTTGAAGGCAGCATAGATGGGGGAGACAATGATGAAAAGCACAGAGAGAGGGGCGTTTTGATGAGCATGACAGGTCCTGACGCACTTGGTGCCTTGAGAATAAGCATTGATATTCAGAGATGCCACACGGGAATTGCCTGGCTTTGTTCACAAATTGTGTGTATGTGTGTATGTGCATGTGTGCGAGTGATTGCGTGACAAACCCGGTGAGCTGAGTTCGATTCCCAGCCATGGCTAACCATCAGTAAGTGACAAGCGATATCCAGGTTGACTCAGCTTTAAATGAGTGCCTGGCACCGTATGTAAACATGAGCACTGCAGAGACAAAGGTGGCTTGTCGTGGTTCTGGTCATAATACCCATTTCGTGGCCATTCTGGCCTTAATAGGTGCTCGCTAAAGTGCACTTCTCCTAACAGTCTATGGAGGTTGTATTGTTAGTTTTGTCTTTAATTTCCTTGTGGAGAGTATTGCTGCAGTGCTTAGGATGCTGCTCTCTTTGTTCCAGTGTTCTAATGTACAACATCGGTGGAACAATTTACTTGGCTTTTCTGTCAACAAGTACTTGATTTCGTATCTAACATCAGTACCGGGGATACAAAGGCAGCCAAGCGTACATCTGGACACACATTAACTTGTGTGCCGTGCCAGCCTTGGTAGGTTGCTCTCTAACTGCACTTGTCCCAACAGTATGTTAAAGGCTATATGGGAGATCTCTTTGTCTTTTGTATGTAAGAGTGTGTTTTCTTCATATCTTAAAATACGTTTACAGTGAGGGAAAAAAGTATTTGATCCCCTGCTGATTTTGTACGTTTGCCCACTGACAAAGAAATGATCAGTCTATAATTTTAATGGTAGGTTATTTTGAACAGTGAGAGACAGAATAACAACAACAATATCCAGAAGAACATATGTCAAAAATGTTATAAATTGATTTGCATTTTAATGATGGAAATAAGTATTTGACCCCCTCTTAATCAGAAAGATTTCTGGCTCCCAAGTGTCTTATACAGGTAACGAGCTGAGATTAGGAGCACACTCTTAAAGGGAGTGCTCCTAATCTCAGCTTGTTACCTGTATAAAAGACACCTGTTCACAGAAGCAATCAATCAATCAGATTCCAAACTCTCCATCATGGCCAAGACCAAAGAGCTCTCCAAGGATGTCAGGGACAATATTGTAGACCTACACAAGGCTGGAATGGGCTACAAGACCATCGCCAAGCAACTTAGTGAGAATGTGACAACAAATGGTGCGATTATTCGCAAATGTAAGAAACACAAAAGAACTGTCAATCTCCCTCGGCCTGGGGCTCCATGCAAGATCTCACCTCGTGGAGTTGCAATGATCATGAGAACGGTGAGGAATCAGCCCAGATCTTGTCAATGATCTCAAAGCAGCTGGGACCATAGTCACCAAGAAAACAGTTGGTAACACATTACGCCGTGAAGGACTGAAATCCTGCAGCGCCCGCAAGGTCCCCCTGCTCAAGAAAGCACATATACATGCCCGTATGAAGTTTGCCAATGAACATCTGAATGATTCAGAGGAAAACTGGGTGAAAGTGTTGTGGTCAGATGAGACCAAAATGGAGCTCTTTGGCATCAACTCAACTCGCCGTGTTTGGAGGAGGAGGAATGCTGCCTATGACCCCAAGAATACCATCCCCACCGTCAAACATGGAGGTAGAAACATTATGCTTTGGGGGTGTTTTTCTGCTAAGGAGACAGGACAACTTCACCACGTCAAAGGGCCATGTACCGTCAAATTTTGGGTGAGAACCTCCTTCCCTCAGCCAGGGCATTGAAAATGGGTCATGGATGGGTATTCCAGCATGATAATGACCCAAAACACACGGCCAAGGCAACAAAGGAGTGGCTCAAGAAGAAGCACATTAAGGTCCTGGAGTGGCCTAGCCAGTCTCCAGACCTTAATCCCATAGACAATCTGTGGAGGGAGCTGAAGGTTCGAGTTGCCAAACGTCAGCCTCGAAACCTTAATGACTTGGAGAAGATCTGCAAAGAGGAGTGGGACAAAATCCCTCCTGAGATGTGTGCAAACCTGGTGGCCAACTACAAGAAACGTCTGACCTCTGTGATTGCCAACAAAGGTTTTGCCACAAAGTACTAAGTCATGTTTTGCAGAGGGGTCAAATTCTCTTATTAAAATGCAAATCAATTCATAACATTTTTGACATGCGTTTTTCTGCATTATGTTGTCGTTATTCTGTCTCTCACTGTTCAAATAAACCTACCATTAAAATTATAGACTGATCATTTCTTCGTCAGTGGGCAAACGTACAAAATCAGCAGGGGATCAAATACTTTTTTTCCCTCCCTGACTGGAAACCGAGGTAGAAGTTATTTGTTGTTAATTAGCGTGCACTACTGTACTGTGTTTTATACTCATGTATTGCGGTCCCTTTGGAAATGAGGCCCGCCACATGCAGTAGGTTAGAGCAAACACGGCGCCTGGAAATGCCATCTAAGGGACATTTAGATTGGCGTGGCTTTGGCTTCCTTTGATGTTTTTTGTAAAGCCTCCACCCTTATGGATGTGGCTACTGGGGAAACTAGTGCAGCGGTGACACACCCACTCTTTTTTTCTTTGCTTCTCCAGCAGCAAGATCATTCTGAAATAGAGTCTGACTGTGTCTCGAGGTGGCTTTGTATCTCAGGGGGATGATGCCTATGTAGGAGTGATGAGCTGATGCTGCTGAGGTCGTGGGTTTGTGTCTGGGTTGTCTGGCCTGGAGGCACCTCCGATTAGCACGGTTGGCTACATACGGTGCGAAAGAAATTCAACATACACACACATACCTGTATTGAAACCATAATCTCGAGTTTAGTGAGTTGATGGTCTGAGAATTTTTTTTCATGAATCTGGGTTTTTCAGTTTCAGCTTTGGGGAAACAATGTCAGGGTTATTCTCATACTTGGAACGCTTATGAAAGGAAATTCCATTGATTACTCAATAAATTATAATTGAAAATAAAATCAAAGTAGTTATCTTTTTGGGGCCATTATCTGACATGATGTGAAAATTCCGAATGGAAATTAATTTCTTTCCTGACACGATGCCGATTACACAATTGTAACGCAATGGAGACGTAAACCATCGTAAAGCAAATTCTCGACAATCTGTGTCACTATAGTGCCGACATGAATGTATAAACAAACAGCAACTGTTGGATTTCATTTCCTCCTTCACATCGCCACCAAAAACTATTCGAATTTATATAGTGTCTAAATGCGACCGCACCTTAATTGATCAATACACCTTTATTCAGTATCATGCCTTTCGTAATAAAATGTCGTCACAAGAAATTTTACAAA